GGTCACGGAGGTTGTACGTAATAACAGGCTTGCGAATTATTCATCCGTTCCCGAAATCCACACTTTCCTGTGGCAAAGGGTTTATGCAGCTTATGTTATCAACCATAATAGGAGAACACCATTGTGTTTCCTAGGTTCCATCTTTTTGAATTATGAGGTTAATATTAAAATGTAAGAAACCGAATCCAAGTAGCAGAGTCCTCCTTAAGAAGCTAATAGTCATCCATTTGGTCAAGATGCCCCCTGCCTCCCTCATGGAAGCCTTAACCGGACCCAGTTCATATCCTCACACCTTATTTAAAGTCACCTTTTTTTTTTTATTGCTAGTGGGGTGGGACTAAGTCCCTTGTACTGCGGCCACTTCTGGCCTATTGTACTAGTACAAGATGATAGGTGAGGGTGATTGTGGAGCAATTGGTGGAATGAAGATTGGCAGGGGAAATCGAAGTACTCGGAGAAAACCTGCCCCAGCACCACTTTGTCCACCACAAATCCCACTTGACCAGACCTGGGATCGAACCCGGGCCGCAGCGGTGGGAAACCAGCGACTAACCGCTTGAGGTATGGCGCAGGCTATACAGTCTATATAAGACAGATTACGAAGTTGAAGAAGATGCCAGGGCCCAACAAAGGGCTGTATAACCAGTGATGAGTGAATGAAAGTATATAACAGAAAATATATAATCTTTTGGAAAACGAAACATTTTCAGCTCAACATAGTAAAGCAACCAATTAGACGTTCAAGAATTCAGAAAAAATTACGAACCTCTGCCTTCCCGTCAGAAGTTCTATGTTCTACAAAAGAAACTTTTGTTCCCTTTGAATCATTTCATAGCTTCCCTTGTGTTTGTCAGCCCACCATTCAGTTCGTCAGTTAGACATTAATTATTTCGTTTCCATGTCGGTCCGTTAATCCAGCCACATTTGATTTAATTGATACTATATATAAAAATCTGCAGTAAATCAATTTCAAGGTCACAGGTTAACGAGACTTGTAAGAACTGAATTTGTAAGCTGTCGTAAATTTCACTAACTCCATGGCGAGCACCCCTTCTCAAAGATGTCAACACTGAAGGATTTCCCACAATTTTATGGAACTCCAAGGTTCATTACCGTATTCATAAGAGCCCTACGCTGGTCCCTATCATGAGCCAGATGAATCTGTCTATACCACCGTCATCCTGTTTCATTAAATCCATCTTAATATTATCCTCCACTTACGTCTAGGTCTTTAGTGATCTCTTTTCTTCTGGCTCTTCCACCAAAAACCTGCAAGCATTCATTTTCTCTCCAGTGCGTGCTACATAACCTGCCCATTGCATCCTCCTTCATTTGATCACTCTAATTATATTTGGCGAAGAGTATCAGGTTATGACGCTACTAGCAGTGGTGACAAAGCATGTGCTTGCTTTCAGCTACTCTGAATGGGAAACAAGCAGTCTGCTTGTACCGGTTCTCACGGTCTCTTCGCTTGACGATTACTTATTTGTCCTTCTAACCTGAAGATGGAGGCGATACGTCCTCCGAAAAGTCGGTTAACACCGCATCTACACGGTGCCACATCTCAGAAGACTGCTTTCTTCAACTATATTTATATTTTTATGAAAAGGCTATTCATACTTAAAACTGTTTTATTTCGACTGAACTGCTCTGTATTTTATCACAACAATTTAACTATTTTTCTGCTGCGTGTATGAAACAAACAAATTGCAGAAATCAGAAATAAAATTACACCAGCTTTTGTGGAATTGACTGATAATAATGGCGAACAAATATCTTACTCCTAAAAACAAAAGATATTTCTCAAAACCGCCTTAGAGAAATGGGACATTAAAATTTAAATATGAATCATTTCTCCCCGTACAAATCTGGGATAGCGCGTCTTCACAAATCAATGTAGTTCATTCTCCCCACACTGCACCTGTCACTGTAAAATATTCACACTATATAAACTTTCTCAAATATACCGAAACCTGCCTTTCCTGGATATTTATTTATCACTTCTGATGCTGCGTGTACGAGCTCGATTTCTATTGTTACTATCCATTCTTCATCTGTCACAATTATCATTACAGTACAGATTGAATAAAGCGTGTAATGAGATTGCAGCTCTATCTGCTTTCCTATCATTTTGTCCTTCGATTTGATTTCAGCCTGCATTGCATGCTATGGTGGGCCAAAAAGAGTCAGAATTAAATTCGACCAGCATCAATTAGGACTAGCATATGTCCCCTTCCGGAAAGTACGTATTTCGTATTTTCAGAGATGAAGCATGCGGAAGATAAATATTCGTTACCACTTTGAGTAAATTTATATTTTTTCTTTTTTCCTCTCTATGGCTCTACATCCCTTCGGACCCCTTCTTTTATATAGTCTGAAGGACTCCTTGGACGGGGAATCAGCCCGTCACAAGGCCGCTACCTACACACAGAATAAAAACACACAAACATCCATGCCTTGATTTGGATTCGAACTCACGATCCCAGCGCCCGAGCGAGCTAAGATATTTCATGCTCAGACCGCGCAGCCACTGTGATCGACGAATAAATTTATATAGTCTCTGAAAATGAAAAATTAATATAAATAGCGTATATGGACAGACTATACAGCAGGATAGGCCTATAATATTAGAGAGGAACACCTCCTGTACCTATAATTCAAGGAAACAATCAACTTCTCTCTGTAGGCAAGTTCGCGCCCCTACGGGGCCCCTCATAACCACTACGTCTTTCCGACAGTCTGTCCGTTTGTATTCATGAAATAACTCCCAAACAGCTCAACGCATTTTCATGAAATTTGATACTGAAAAGTGTTACTAAACTTTTCCCATATATTACAATTTTGTATAAAATCGAACAGAAATTGCTGGAAGACAAAGAGATCGGAGTTCGAGTCCCGGTGGGAGCAAGATTTTTCACTTCTCCATGTTGCCCAGACAGGCTCTGGGGTCCACCCAACTTCCTATCTAATGGATACCGGGGTCTCTTTCCCCGGAGGTAAAGCGGCAGTAACGTGAAGCTGACCATGCACCTCCAGCTAGTTCCGAGGTGAAGAAAATGTGAATATACATCCACTCCCCCAAAAGCCTTCATGACGTAGTGCTTAATTAGTTACTTACTTAAATTTTACATGAAGACACACATGCAATTCTGTGGTTATCTCTAGCATAATTGATTAATTATTTATTGGAGCGAAATTGTACCGAAGAAATGTTGTAGAGAAAAGCTAAACCCACAAGATATGTAAAGTACATTTTCTCATCGTCTTAAGGTTTCGGGACAATAAAACGAAGGTGACGATAGTTAAGGAAGGATAATTTCCAAATTGCTACATTCAGTAAGCACTACTGGTGTTCTGAACATACCCGATAGTAATCAAATGTAATTTCCTCTCAGCGAACTTAAAAGTTTACAATTGTATAAAGATATAGGCATTTACGAATTGCTTAATTAAAATTAGTGTTAACACCCGCTGAGAGCTGAACAGAAAATCTAATTCTTTATTATATAACTCCTCTGCCTTGTCCCTATTCCTATACAGTCCTACATGTTATCGCATGATACGTCAATGCAGAATTTTAATGCCATCTCCCACGAAGAGCACAAACAAATAATCAATCGTAAATCGTCTCTACATTACACAGCACTTCGCATAACCGCTTCAAGATATTATCAATAATCACAGAACACACATGAAACAAGGGGAAAAAAGATTTGTCTCCTGTTTGTTATTCAGTACATAACTGTATATTCATGTAACGCGTAAAATCTTGATCATTCGTTGCTGTGGCAACTGAAATTGCGTAATGACAGTGGCAGATCACAGGCTTACGAAACTCACACACACCCGGTGTGTATATCTACATAATTTATCTGGCTGCGAATGCTCTTATTCTGGATTATAATAGATCATAGTACATGAAAAGAAAATCTTCATCTTTTTCAGCTAAAGAGCGCAATGAAGAAAAATATAATTTTATTTTTTTTTTAATTCGCTTAGTGGGGCGTGGAGTCCAACTGTGTCCACTCGGCAAGGCGGCCACTGATTGGCCTATTGTAGCCTGCCCCGGGTGAGTATGATGATGGAGAATTTGGTGGAATGAAGATTGGCAGGGGAAACCGAAGTACTCGGAGAAAATCCGCCTCAGCGCCACTTTGTTCACCACAAATCCCACTTGACCAGACCCAGGATCGAACCCGGGCCGCCGCGGTTGGAAGCCAGCGACTAACCGCTTGAGCTATGGCGCGACCTAAAAAAAATATAAGTGACCTCTTGACTAAGCTAGACAATGTTGAAATCGGGCACGTCTTACTCGTATTGTCTTCTTACAATGCTTTATTGCAGCATTGTTGGAAGCATGTGCTAATATTCAGTAAAGAGCTATAGGTATATTGTTACATGTAGACACACTTCTAAACAACGCCCCTCATGCAACAATAGAATCAGTGACGCAAGAGAGGATTTCTGTGTGGTTTTCATATATCCATTGCTAGGTAACGGGCCAATAAATACGCATTCTTGACAAGAGAAGAAAGTGTTTCTGTGGGGTCCGTGCCGAGGGGTTATCTTGAAGACAATCGACGCTACAGGAGGTCAGTTGAAGGACCAGTTGTGGAGCGTTAACCAGTGAGCAACGGAAGCTGAAGAATCTCCATCGTTAAGATTCGTTACTAGGAAACGTCTAGTGAAGACACAGTAGAGGAATACGTGTATTTATTTTGGTGAGCTGTTACCATGTAAAGACTAGTGAAAGTAGTCTCAGAAGACTTAGTGTGAAATGATTTGTAGTGTGGAAATCAGCAATAGTGTAATAATTACTTGTAGTTACGACCTGTTAGATTTCAATAAATCTATTTACCAGTCCGAATTCCGTCTTTAGTCACTAACACATGCAACAAGATAGGTAATGCTCTTTTAGGGTGCATAATAAGAGTGAACAGCAAAACCTTGATTGGATCTTTTACAAGTATGGAGTAAAAGGGTGGATTGGATCCATCTACCTCAGGAGTGCGTTCTGTTGCTTAGAGTAGTCATGCCTCGAATTGGATTCGAAGTGCAGTCCCAAGCCGTATGTGCCTCCACTGTTCAGCCGCAGTGATAGGGTCGATGTCAGTTCTTTCCTCAAAATGGGAGGCACCACACCACCTGAAACACTGCCGGAAATGTATTTTTACGTAACGAAATTGCTTTTAGGAAATGATTGCCTTGCTCTACAATCCGTGATTACAGTAGGGTCAACGAATATATTGATATATTCAGTGAGTAGGGTCAGACCCCCCCCCCCAAAAAAAAATGCTGCAGGATATGAAGGGGGTAGCAGCTGGCGGGAAAGGGGAAGGATAGACAGGAGGGTGAGGAAAAATCAGTGTCGGCTCTTTCGTTGACAGGTCTAGGCATAGTGGCGCATCGCATTACTGTCCGGGGATTGGGCGATGTTACTAACGCGTATCAGTTGAGACTGTCGCGATATATTAGTCACTCTGCAGGGAGGGAGGATATTACAGTCTCTCTCTCTGATTATCCCTAACCTAATTTCTGAAAGGAATGGCTTTACAAATAAGACTTGAAAAGCACGTAGTGCATCACAGATAAGAGGGTCTTATTAAATCAGCTTTAGTTTTTGACTGTGAGTGTCTTGAGAACAATAGAACAATATTTTCGTTATAAATTGACTTTCGTTTTATTCTCTCCTGTCTGTTCACTTTCTGCAAGCGTTACACAGACTTTAGAAGAGGATTACTGCGAAGTTAAGGGAAGGAATAGCAGTGGCATGTTTTCAGACCTACCTCCGTCATGTATACTGGAGGCACTGAAGAAGAACGTCGCAGTGTTACCACGCCCAGAATACGAATCTGCACTATGATATTTGGTAATATATAGAAGAAAATTATACTTGAGCTTAATTAATTAAATTCCACGCAAAGATAATGTACAGAGGAGTGGAGGTATAGCTCCTCAATTCTTAACCTCGGCACTAAGTTGAGGCGAGTGGTCAGTTTCTCGCCCCTGCTCAGGGAAGAAGCTCACAGTAACATCCCGTAGGATGCTGGGTAGGACGCAGAGGCAGTCTGGATTCTATGGAGAAGAGAAACAACGCTTACCCATGCCGGGAATGGAACTCCGATTACTCGGTCATCCAGAACATGCTCTAGTCTCTTTTGATAATGCCACGATTTTAGAGTGACTATTGACAGTGTTTCGATTGGTAATCGGATTTATTGAACACTTACAGAACGTAACTGCTAATAACTAAGACAGTATCACTGAGTTACACACTCCAAAGATCACTGCAGCTACAGCATGCATAAAGTCTCAGTTTGCTACGTCTTCACCAGTCGTTGCCTGGCTACGGATCTCAACAATGTCCTCCGTTCCCGTGCTGACGTTCTTCCCGGCTGGCGATTGTTTCACAACTAACTCATTGCTCCAACTCTCCACTTTTAAGGGTCCTTATATCCCATTGGCACGGGCGGCCCAGAAATCACCGTTTCTCTGTAGCTATTTCTAATTGTTGTTGCGCAAATTTGCTTGTTTGGAAAGCCGTTACTCAGTGAAGGCTGTTGTATACCTGCTTCTTTCGCGGTCTTTACCTAGCAACGGATCTACATGCCACAATAATATATTATACCACGTATTTAAGTAAATAAATACAATCTCTATATCAGCAGTTCTTTCCTTCAATTATGTCTCGTCTTTGCTATGAGATTATATAAGAAATGCAATATATAAGTTATATGGGTCCAGTCCTTCTTACCGTCGCGTTCTGGCTTCCGTAGCGCTGCAAGCTTCCCCTCGCGTTCTGACCTCCGTAGCGCTGCACGCTTCCTGTTGCATTGTGGTTTCCGTAGCGCTGCAAGCTTCCCCTCGCGTTCTGACTTCCGTAGCGCTGCACGCTTCCCGTTGCATTCTGACTTCCGTAGCGCTGCACGCTTCCTGTTGCATTGTGGTTTCCGTAGCGCTGCAAGCTTCCCCTCGCGTTCTGACTTCCGTAAAGCTGCACGCTTCCCGTTGCATTGTGGTTTCCGTAGCGCTGCAAGCTTCCCCTCGCGTTCTGGCTTCAGTAGCGCTGCACGCTTCCCGTTGCATTCTGACTTCCGTAGCGCTGCACGCTTCCTGTTGCATTGTGGTTTCCGTAGCGCTGCAAGCTTCCCCTCGCGTTCTGACTTCCGTAGCGCTGCACGCTTCCCGTTGCCTTCTGCCT